TTTTTTTAACATAGTGTACACAGTATACATATTAAGAATTTCAGTCTTAGATCATCTCTTGTTTTACAGGATGGAAAAAGACGCTTTCAAGAAGCTATTGCCAGAAAGAAGATTCGCCTTGATAGGTAAATATCTTCTATCAGGAGGAGCTATTTTTGTGTCACCTTATTTTCTGTCATATTTACATTGGTAAAGTTATGGTTCCTCACATTTTGAAAAAGGCCAAAATGAGGCCGGTGTACGTGCAGATAATTTCAATGAGCCAAAATCTCAGGCTTTGGGGTACTTTAAAGACTCACATATTTTCAGTTTTTGTCAGCAAAGGAAGGCAGGTTTACTCTGAGCTCCGTTTGATGTCTCTGAGAGTAGATCTCTCCAGAATCATCATTCCAGTCCACAGCTCTGCACATTGGATCGAAACCCTCAGTTTTTGAGGGCCAACGAATCAGATGCATGTTGGCTTAGCAGGAAGTGAGCTAAAATGACTTGTTTTCAACTGAGGTGGCTGCACAAAGGCCCAGCACAGAATAACTACGAATGATTTTTGTACAATGCAAAGCTACCCTTCTACAGTAGAGTGGAACAGCTCCCTTTTAAAACAATTAGGCTTGTTTTCTGTTTATGTGTCAGAGTAACGATTGTTGTTTATTGCAGATTGTTTTGTTGACAGCGTACAGGTTAGGCTATTTAATGCTTTGCAATAAATAAATAACCAATATTTCTAAAAGAGTCACAATGAATCTATTCCCTTAGTAAATTAGTTAAATTACATTTTGAACCTTTTAAATCGTGTTTGTATGCAAACATGTTGTTAATCATGATGCATTACAAAGCAGTGGAACTGAAACGGTCTCATCACTGGATTTACTTTTTGGTCATATGACCGAATCCATTGTTTACAAGAGTTTGCAGGCGCTAATGACTTGGCAGACCAATGCATCACGGCTGAGCAGACTTTACCGCAGACTTGAGCAGGCATAATGAGTTCATTGTTCAACTCTAAACAGTGCAATCTTTATTCCTCTGTTTGATAACATGATGTGTTGGGTCATTGCTTGAGTAAAAGTGCTTGTGTTTTTGGTCTTTCTGTAGTGCCCTGAGCTACAGAACATCATTGCTGTACTTCATGTTTACAGGAAATATATCATCTCCTGCAAGCAGACTGAAGTGCCCTTGTCTGTTCCCTGGGATCCAAGTAACCAGGTGTTTGTTTGGTTTTTTAAATTTTTATCTAATTTAATTTTTGTTTTGTTAACAGAGACACTCAGAGCTGGATAATGCTACTGTATACAAAGTAACGCTTTATATTTTCAGATGTACCTGAGCTACAACAATGTCTCAGCGCTGAAATTAATGGACAACAGGAACAACTGGGTGTTGGCTTCGGAGAAAAATAAGGTCACAAATGTTTGCATATCTGTTCAGGGTATAGCTCATTGGATTTTCCAGCATTTTGCACAGTTATAGTGAGGTGCTCAAAATATGGGTCATAGTGTTTTATGTAGATTCTTTAATATTGCAGAATAGGTCAAGAAAACTATGTTAGCATAAGTCA